GACAGAAGTGTCCTATCTTTTTGTAAGAGTGATTTGTAACAAAAATATATCAAAATGCGGCCATCAAAGAACATATCTCAAGTCAGGGGTAGAATTAATTTATGGACAAACTGTATTTTAAAGTAAAGCATATCGCAAATCGACAATAATAATAAATGAAACTTTAAACGTTAATAAGACACCGATCTACAAACGCAAAAGTAATTTTCCTTTAAAATTAATTATATGAATAAGTATAGGTACTATCTTAAAGCCTTCGTAGTAACATAACATGCTGTTGACGTTACATACCCATCTATCTAAATTATAAAAAGTGTATAACGGAACAAGTCCATATAGAAAAAAAAATCGTGTTGTTACAATTGATATTCCTATTAGTTGTAAAGACCATGACACATGACGTTCGTAGTATTGGTATGTTGTATCGGTTTACGAATAAGAACTGTTGCGTCAAGTGGTTAGCTCGGTAGATCACATGCTTAGATACAGCCTTTTCAATTTGTGATGTTGTGTAATACATGTGTTGACAGCTATCGATATACTTATCCGTACCAAAAATTTATTTATCAATCTGCAGCTGAAAGCAATTTCTGTGAAATCATTTTATTTCTTTTTTTTACTATGTTAATTAATGATATCTTAACACCTGTTTACCTAATTTTGTTCGTTAAAGAGCCATAGCTCTCAGTTTTATGTGCGAATTTAATGTACGTTATGTATTTTCCCTTTACTTATGAAATTTAATAGTTGAATTGATATATCTATACAGTTGTTTTCTATTCTCCTATTTTAAAAATGATAATGTTATTTAAACATGTAATTGTTCAACTGCAAAAAATGTGTTATTCAATTATATGATTCAAAGATTTATTAATATATTTTGACATTACTGACTTTTTTACCCACGGCTATCATTTTCAGTTCAATACAGGAATGGTACTCTCTACGCCCATTTACGATATATTAGTCGATTAGTCGTGTCGTATGCTACTACGGTGCACGTCGTTTTCTGACGTACCCAGGATGTCGTTTTCTGACGACTGAGCTACCCAGAAGTGATCGAAAGATATTATTTGTACTACTGCTAAAAAACAATGAATTTGACAGGCGACAAATAAAAAAAAAAAAACAATTATGTTTTGTTTATATCCTAATAATATCATTTATTTATATCATAATAATATGTTATAAAATTATATACAAATTAAAGATTATTTTTTCGAAATAACTGAAATAGGAAAGATACGAAAGTTCAATAACACAGAATTCATCATTCACACGAACATTGAACATCAACTTAAACAAGGTTTAAATCTGGGGTAATCTAAAATTATCATTTTTTTATCATTTTAATAAAGCCCGGGCTTGCTACGACTCTTCTCCTATTTTCCTATAGCCTTCTCTGTATTCGTATATCTTTCAACCACAGATGTATAAAAAATCATTGAAATCATTGAATTTTTAGCGCGTCTCACGTAACATCTTTAATAATTTAATAAATCCGTTTATATAATTGTATTTTTTTTAATTTGAATGAACTAATACAATTTAGACAAAATAATGCGGTCTTTATGTACGTGTTTGAAAGTGTTCCTTAATTGTGTCATTCTTTTCCTATGTACTTCTCTTTATTTTCCAACTGGCTAAAAAAATATTATATTTAATGACAAACCTCGTTTAACTAAACAAACTATGAATGTGAACATAAAAACAACTTATTGCCATTATTCCTATTTTATTATGTAATAAATAAAAATATCTCAGTTCCTTAATTCTTTTTATTATAAGTAAGAACTAGTTAACTTGCAATCTGTTAAAAGAGTGTATTGGCTAGTTAAATATCACGTTTTTGTTGATTTGTAATAGATCGATGGATGAAACCATGGAGCAAAGCTCATGTAAGAAAAAGCAAATAGGTAGATTACTTTTATAAATAACATAATAACTTGTCATTTCGCAAAAAATAGTTTTCGAACGTCTTTCACTTTCCCAAGCTGTTTTTTTTTCAACGACGCGCCAATAAAGGGTTAAGATTAATGAGTTTAAACATTTCATTTGTCAATCAAACTTAAACAAGTTCCACAACTTCTTCGCCTTCAAGATGTTGGTGCAAAAATATATACAAATATTAACGTATATAAATAAATATACGTTAATATTTGTATATACATAAAAATACGTATATAAACTATTACGACCTTAATAATTGATACCAAGTCAAAGAACCAAAGAAAGATTTTAACAAATTAAAGATTAATGCCCTTCACACAAAAATTATTAAGTGTGAATTTTTGTATCGAGCATTATATGAATGACACATATTTGATTGATATTTGCATAGCGGCACCTATTTTTGGAAATGGAACTAAGATTTCTAATATATACAGAAATATTTGTTTAGGTATATGCTCGTTTTATGAATTGAACAAATCAGAGTTTATCCTCCAGAAAAAATACTCGACAATATTACCATTTTCATTTATTAAAATAAAGTCTAAAATGAAGTAAATAAAACGACAACACCACGCAATTATCAAGACTTTTTTATAGTAGGTCTTCAAGAATGAAGCCTGGGACCTCAGAGATAGCGATATCATGATACATAATTCATACGTGCGAGATACACGACCACGTCGAAGTTGCAAAAAAATACAATGACTTATGTATACATACATAATAATCACGTACCGGCCACGAATGTAGGCAGTACAACAACGTTGGGGGAAAACATTGTAAAGAGGCTGAGCAAAAGAAGTGTTTGGAAACCACCTGTCCGATGGTCCAACGATCTTAAAGTGACTGCGGGGTCATTCAGGAAGAAGAAGCAAGAAATGGAACTATACGGAGAGAGATTAGAGTGGCGTATACCCAAAGGTGGGCCACCACAAGCTGATAAAGAGATCACGTTCCTTATCATAAACAGATTACAGAAAAATGCTTAAACATTCCACTTTGTCACCCGGATTTTTAAAAATTTTGCTGTGATATATTAAGAAAAATAATATTTTTCAGTATGTTCAAAATTAATCAAATATAATAACACATTTTATTTATAGTTTTTACGCATTCTGGTTATCTGCATTAAAAGAAACCATGTGGTGTTTTCATATTAATGTCATATGGAAAAGTTGTATTTTTGGGTAATACACCTTTTAATAACTAGTCTGAATAAAAAAAATAAAAGCGTCGTGTAATTGCACCCCATAACGATTGCGTCATTTAATTAAAAATTATACATTGAGTGACACTCGTAAAATCAAAAATAGAATCAGGAAAGAAAACGAGATCCTCAAGATTAAATAAGACATACTAAATCTGAATTGCATCACCACATTCTCATAATCTAAAATTATCAGTCAAATATCAAACCGCATTGAGGTAATTGATAAATGATTTATGAATGCCGAAAAAAAAATGCGCTCGTTCGTTGTTGCAATGTGGGCAATTTATATTATTTAGGATCCATAATCGGTTTCGGAGCGATTATAACGATTACGAACATAAATTACAGACGTACTCGCAGTTGTCGGACCAATATCTCCTTGTTCCTAATTCGTTATTCATGGAGCTTTAGAGATTCGATTGCGCCACTGCGACGTCACGAGAACATGTTAAATTATCCGCCGGCTACGTGATGCTAGTCATCAATCACGAATCGCTTGCCTCGTGCAATGTGCACACAACACGACTATCGATATAACCTCTATTAAAAAAAGTAAGCTGATATCTGTAGTATTTTAAAAACCAATTTTATTTAACTAAAGTTCATATTGCGGCTACTTAGTTCATGCATGAGTAAATTATTTACATAAGATACATTATAATAACTTCTAATGTAGCTATTTATTTAACACTAGCTTTTGCCCGCGACTTCGTCCGCGTGGTAAAGTTACTTTGAGCAGCATTTCTAACAAATATTTATTCATTAATCGTGTAAAATACCTGACATATAGGGGATTTTATCCCCTTAGGGGTAGAATTGATTAAAATCCTTTCTTAGAGGATGCCTACGTCAAAGTAGCTTTATGCATACAAAGACTCAGCCCGATCGGTTTAAAATTGACAAAGTTTCATACAAATTTTCATCCCCTATTTTATCCCCTTGGGGATAGAATTGATCAAAATCTTTTCTTAGCGGATGCCGACGTCATTATATCTACCTGCATGCCAAATTTCAACCCGATCCATCCCGTGGTTTGGGCTGTGCGTTGATAGATCACTATGTCAATCAGTCACCTTTGAGTTATATGTATTTAGATTCATAAAAAGGCGGAAGTGACGGAATGAGATAGCTCATAGTATGAGCATAATGTGATATACAATTTTGCTAAAACAGGAAACACCTTAATCAGAGTAATTTATCGGAGACTTAAATGATTTCGCAAACGGAATAAAACTTATTTGAAATAACAATCCGCTACTAAAATGCCGCATTTTATTTGTATCACTTTTCGAAGACACTGTCATTAGTTCTGTTTCATATTACAAAAGAGGTTGCATGAAACTTTTGGGTCGACACAATGCTTTTTATTTTTATTTATACCAAGCTAATATTTTTAAGAATATTTTGTTAATTACAGTATACTTACAGAAATATTTGTGAATATTACTACACTACAAGGGTCACATAATTTAAAATTTAATAATGTATTAATTAATTCTTAAATTATAAGGAAAAAGAGGTATTCACATCATATATTACAGTGATTTTGGCGATTATTCCGCGTAATATGCCTTTTTCTATCTCTTTGACAACACGATACAAGCGAGTAATGAACGAAACAAGCTATAGAAAATTCACAATCGCCAATGCAGTGGTGCTGTCAAAATTCATATAAAAATAACTTGTTTTGAAATTATCTATACCGTAAACTAATAATCTTGAAAACTCAATAACAGTTTCAAATAAATAAAAGAATCTAATTGATGATTTTATCTATTGATATTGAAGACAATAAATAAAAAAATAGTATAGATCCAGTACCACGATATAAAAAAGAATGGATTTGGAAACTAACAAACGGTACAAAGGTATAATTACACAACAATACCTAAGCAATTTAACGGAGATTGTTTTTTGATAGTGTCTCATTAAAAAAATGTTTGCGAAATTACTGATGCGCATTATTCTGATAACGTCTTTTCGCATAAGGCTGTACAAGAAACGTAAGATACCACGGTTTGCAGGAGCCGACAAAGCGACAGATACAAATTGAATCAAAGATAAGGACATTAATGATCTCATATGGCTAGTCACGATGTAGATGTACTTATTAAGGCTATACCATTGTCGAATAAGTTTTAATTTTTCTCCAAACATTATTGTATTGTCTCGGGTCTATCTGAAACAATTCTGTATAGATCCAGTATCACGATAGAAGTCTATCTGAAACAATTAAGGTACTACTTATACCTATGCAAAAATATACTAAAGGTCGTTAAATATTTATTTATTTTTAATGTGGCTCATTAACAGTGAGAAATTATGAAGAAAATTACAAACCATTTTTAAGGTAAATAATACCGGGCAAATAAATACATCTGTGAAAATTTCAACTATCTATCGCGGTTCATGATGTACAACCTGGTGAAAAACGGATCTTTTCGGCACGGAACCCTTAAAATTGTATCTATAAATATTACAAAAAAGTACACTATTATAAATGTTAAGTTTAGAAAAACAATAATTCTTAGTCCTTCCAGATTTCGAAAGTAGAATGTATTTATTCAATTAAAATTCGAACAATGCGCTAATTGCAACAACTTCATCGACGTTGTGCAATTTAAAGCTATAAGTAGTCCGATCTTATTTTTTTTTTAAATATAATAATCGTTATTCTTGACGACTTCCATTCTCCTACCTGTCACTTATCAGCCGCCCGGTTGTTGCGTGTTCCCTTCATTTCGAAAAATTATCTTGTAATTTTGCTCCAATTTTGCACAATTTCTTATTATAAACTGACTGACGTGCTATCGAGTGCATTATTATGACCATCAAATTATCATCCTTTTACGGCTAATCGAGAGAAATGTAAGATAATATTGGTATTCATCAATCATATAATGTCTACAGTAGCCTTTTCGACGCCGAATATGTAATAAATGTTTATGGCAACTATTGAAAACTGGTTTTGAAATATATCGTTCGCAACCATAGGATTAAAAAACCAAATTAATTTACAAACCTCTTTATAAATAATAAATTAATAAAGTGTTTAATAATTTTACAACTTTAGTATGTCAGACTTAAACACATAAAAAATATTATTATAATGTTTATTTCATTCGAGTGGCCCAAATAATATTACTGGGTTTTACATATTTAATACTTTACAAAATATATGTCTCTTAAATCCAAATCAATATCTAGCAAATTAAAGTAAACACTTCAGTAACGTTTTGTCTTGTATGACTTGTGTGAAATATTTGAATACTTTAAAAAAAAATTAAATACGTCATTTAAAATTATCTTACCCATTTATAGTTTATTTTTCAGTAAAATAAAAACATTATAAATGTGAATTACTTTCTTTATTTTTATATTCTCTTTTTTTTTGGTACTTATAATAAACCATATACAACAGTGCCTTATTAAGTAATTGCACTTATGTTCTCTTAACTTTTGTTGGATATAAGACTTAATGTGAAATCAAGATCTTTTGCATTGCATGAACGACTCGAATCTTGTCAACCATTCTAATTTGAAAAGTAGTATTCATATTATATTTGCATGTAATCTGGTCTGCAAATTTTGCCGTCGCATAAACATTCATTGGATGTATGGCCAAATTTCTAGAACTCCAAAGCTCTCTGCAATTCCACATGCCGTTTAGACACTTAAAATATGTTAACATCTTCACTTTTATCTATTCTACCATGATCATTATAGGTACCGTGTCCAGCATGTCAGGTATAAAACGTCACGCTACTAAGAAGCCTGAATTTTTCTAATTTGATTTAAATCTAAAACTGTTCATGGTTAAATTACGATAAATTGATTGCACAAAATTTACCTTTTGTAGTAACCGAATGTGCTGTTGTATGTACCAAAAAAAAAAAGTTATTATTAATAGATGTTTACTCGCTAGTGCGCCCGCATAAATTATGGCACTTAGCTTCCCGTATGTGAAATATGTTTTTAAGTTTATCCATTACACCCAAATAAATATTTCGTCTTTAAATATTAGTATAAATTTGCCCTATAAACTCATTTGTAAGAAACTCAATTTTTTATTACGATCTTGTCTATAGGTAGTCGACTCACGCGCAAGTCACCGGCGTCGTATGCAGACGGAGTTTACATGATGGCGGGTGCCGATCGACCTGGAGCCAGAGCGCTCTCCAAGCTGTTTATGAAAGGACCAGATGGGTTGCCTTCATTGGCCAACAGAACAGCGCTACTGGCATTTTTTGGTATTTTTTTTTTGTAAAACCTATATTAATTTAATACATTTTGCATTCGTAATGTCTTAGAAAAATAGATTTAGTAGTTTAGATCTATTACCCAAACTTTGACAGTAATTTGTTCACTAATACCGGAAGTATACTCGAAAAATACTCACCAAATAACTCTTCAATAAAATTGCCTATAAAGCAAAACGTTGCATCGGCCGTTGTACTTGGAAGACGGAAAGATTGTTGATTTTCTATCTTAATTTTTTAGTGTTGGCAAATCTAGAGTACCACAATATGTCCAATTTTAAAATATCTTCGATAGATGAAGTAGCACTTGCTCGGCGAACGAATCCAATTTACTCCTGGTACCTGAGCCATGTTTTCCGACAGAACACCTATTATATGTTTATATGCTATTTATTTTAAGATTATCAGAAGAATAAAAATTGTAATTCATTTTCACGACCTTCTTTTTTTCTTTTGATGATAGAATATTCATGAGATAGGTCTTGGTTCTATTTGTGATGATTTTTGTCCACTGCTTTGCTTATTATTTTCCAAAGACTAGCAAAGGAATTCTGCATACAATTAAAGATAATTTCGTCTATTTCCTAGGGCAAATTGTGACGGGTGAGATAGTGATGGCTTCAGAATCGGGTTGCCCGATAGAACACCATCGAATCCCTGTGGATAAATGCGACCATATGTATGATGCTGAGTGCCAAGGTGCCAAATACATGCCCTTTCTACGAGCTGCCTACGATCGAAACACGGGACAAAGTCCAAACAGCCCTAGAGAACAGGTAATTGATTTTATAATAATATTAAAAACTATTTCTTGTCATAAAAAATAGGATTTTATAACAGGTATAAAACAATTATTTCTCTTAATCTAAATAAGAGAAACCATTTCTGTATAATAAAAGAAAATGTACTAAACTAAAAAAAATATGTCGTACATAAAAAAATTATCAATGATAATATAGATTTGGAAAGCTGCGTGTTTATAGATAAAAAGAAATAAAAAATAATAATCAATTTATCCCTAACGAGGTAAGAAGAGAAGTGTGAACATATAGATAGACAGATAGATTTTCGTAAACGCATTGTAGTTGAGATTTAAATTTACTTTTTCAAAATATCAGTAAAGTTCTACTCTATTTGTGTTATTAACTAATATTTATAAAAAAAAACCTCCAATTGATTATAAAGAGAGCAGAAAACTAAAGTAAGACAAATTAAATTAAAGTTAATGAACGATTTGAACAGTATTTGTTTGTGCTATGAATTAAAAACAATGGAAGGCAACCGGTATATCAGAAGCAAAGCTGTCAATTACGGCTGTTAGCATTTAATTTTATCGATGCATCTTTTGTAGGCGGTGTGTTGGTATGGATGTATGTATCAATTAATTTTGAATTCGCAAGAATCAATTCACGTTTAACTTTTGCCGTATTTATTTTATTTATTTTTTTGTAATAACAAATTTTATTCAGCGCCCTCAAAAAAAACAGGTTATCAATACGACCTCTAATTTTTAATTTATGCTAGGTATTTTTTATTTAATCTTTATGTCTATTAAATAGCAAAAGGCGGACTTAATGCCTAAAAGGCATTCTTTTCCAGTCAAATGGAGTCATATATATATATATATATATATATATATATATATATATATATATATATATATATATATATCGGCTTCTGTTTAAATGTGTTAACATGTACCCAATTTTGTGTGTATGTACGAGTATGTTTATTAACGTATTTCGTCCAGTTTATACATCGGATGGTAATAATATATTTTTTTGTTTGCCACATAGGTTATGAATTTAAGTATATATTTGGTAGTTTTAAACGTATAAAGTATAATATATTACATATATATTTCTAGGCTTTTCTATGGAATTTTAAATGGGGGGTTTGTGTAGGGTATTATTAATATACGTCCGACTTCAACAGTCTCAAATTTCTTTTTAAGTCGTCTCTTTTTTATTATTAAACTGACAATAAAAAGTGTGCCAATCCAGTTAGACCCATTTAGTATTTTAATCTCTGCTTTAATAGATCAGTGAGCCGCCTTCGCTTTATAAGGCGAATATTATCTTGTATAAGTTCTTACCGATAATCTTCATTTCTAAAATTAAGGAATTTTAATTTATTCTTTTATATTATTGGTTTTGCTTAGATATGCTGACAAAAACAAGCATACGTCACAGACCTTTGATAAAAACGTCAATTTAATTTTATCGAAGAAAATATCCAATGCCTATTATAGTAACTATAATTAAAGTAATATGTACATTTATATTATTTTACTTTTATATAATTAAAAAAATGTTTTTAAATTTAAACTGAGAGAAATAAAGGTAAAAGTCCATACGTCAGCACGCACGCACCGGATACACGACGCGCAACAGATTATGATAAAAAACCCTATGACTTCATCAACATGATTCCTACATCAAAACTTAGAGTATGACATCCACAAATCCGTTAAATTCGTTGAATTCCGTGCCACCGGTGCGTGCTTGCTGAGGCAATGGATAAGCACCTTTAAGGTAGCATTTTTATTGTAAACTGAAAACAGCAGCTCCACCTTATGACAGTCAAACTAATGGCACCATATTTATATATTCCCTTTCTCAATCGTATTTGGATTCTGATTTATACATACTGTCAAGAACTTATATAATAAAAGAGGTAAGCATTTTAAAATGGCTAAAGATTCACATTTTCGCAGTAAATCACTGCTATCTTATCTACAGCTGTGCGTGTTCCAAATTTAAACGTGACTTGGCTATACTGCACATCGAAGCCTTATCTGTATTTAAATCTATTTTTATACGTTTAGGGAAATGAGACAAGCCTTGAGTGCATCCTGCATTATTATTGTCATTCTTTTGTTTACTTTATTGGTTTGTGTGAAGTTTTTTTACTTTATTTCTGCTAAATACTTCGAACTTTGTTATTTTTTGTAATTATAAGCATAATTTATCAAAATAAATACTCTCATTCTTATCGTAATAAGAGTTGCCTAATAAAAAAAAACCCATCCTTGTTAAATTTTTGCTTTAGAATTCAGCCTTATCAACAGTTATAAATAATTTTCTGCACTATATCATCATTATCATCATCAACCCTTTCACGTCCCCATTGTAGGGGCTCAGGCCTTTCTTATGAATGGTTAAGAGGGATGTGCCATGAACCTCCACCCTGGCCCATTGCTGATTGGAGGATATTAACGACTGCAAAAACAGCCGACACCAACGGCTTAACCTGAACACGCCTTCCGAAACACGGAGTAACTCATGTTAATATTTTTTTGGTCACCCATCCCGTGACCGACCCTGGCAAAAAATGCTTAACAACAACAATCGTGGGCTGCGTTACATATCCACTATAACACCGAGCTACTCAGTATAAAAGCGCTATGTCAAAAGCAATAAAAACTAAATCAAAGCTTAAGCAACTCGTAAACATAAAATCGTTTCTATGTTATAAAATATAAAAATTTCACTTACTTACTAATCGTATACGAATGAAACAGGTGTCCGTTATTCGTAATGAAATTCTTTGAATATCGTAGTTTTTAATTCTTGAGCAGATAATATATCGCATTCCATTGATTTTTAAATAATGCTAGTAAGAAGGTCGAATACCAAGCAATGAAACGTAATGGAAATACATAGCCTAGTTTCACAAAACTCAGGGATGTCAACATCTAGAACACTCCTATTGTATTCATTATAATGAGAAAATTGACTGTCACTTAAAATAATTTATTTATATTTAAACTTTTTAAATATGAATACTGCATTGCATTTTGTCAGTTTGATAATAAAACTATCGTAATTATAACAATGTAAAACTCATATTAAAAGGTATTAAGAAATTATTTGAGAAAAAATCTTGATCAGAGATAGCTTCTTTATCCCACTTATTAAATAAATGCAGACTCTTAGCTTAAAAGAATGAAATAAAATAGTGAAACACATTTATGTGAATTCAGTTATAAGACTAATTTGACGTTTATTGTAAAAAAATATGTTAACTCATTTTTCTAATGAAATTCAAAGACACAGGAAATAATATCTGTAAACATATTAAATGTCAATGTTAAAAACCAGCCCTACTCGTCGTAAAACTATGACGATTCTGATTCGCAAACTGCGTTCTTTAAACCTGTAGTGGTGTGTGATTAGACATGCTAATTTGTGTGTAAATACTGGGCTCAATGGCACTTCGAATTCTGTACGATTAATTTTTATGAAGTGATGTACAGTTTATATAGTATATTGATAAAAAGTCAATAGGTACTTTTAGTTAATTAGAATGAAATTCCAAGTTCAAAAGCTCAAAGAAAACTACAATAATTCACACTTTCTTCTGAATTACATATTTTTAATTTTAAATATTAATGATTCATTATTAACTCTTATTCTATAGCAATGTAACCATGTTAATTAAGTATCTTATTAATTAAGATTTAATAAAAATAAATAATAATCAAATCGATGCCTGTTCATATGACTGTATGACTATATCAAGGCTAATTATGGGGTTGTTATAAGTTCACTTTTGAACTTATCGAATAGTCTGTGATACTAAAGCCTCGATTACAAACAATATAATGTGATAAAAAAGTTTTACAGACGCTTTACCAATACAAGTCTTTTTTTTATATGTTTCACTCTTCCTTTGCTTTACCAATTAACCAAATCGATTATTAATTATCCTTCGCTGGTCCAAATATTGACAATTACTGACTATAGTACGAGATTACGTCACTTATCACGTATTAGACTATCATCAGTATTATTTCAGGTATATCTATAATATATATTAACTTATGTATGTTAGTTAAATATTTTCCATTGTTTGCAGATAAATCAAATGACATCTTGGATCGACGGCAGCTTCGTGTACAGCACTAGCGAGGCGTGGGTGAATGCAATGAGGTCATTTCAGGTGCCACCCAGCAGCCACGCCTGCGTCTTTACGTACATTTCTATACGAATATATTAACACACCACATTACACTATATTTTGTAGAAAAAGACCAATAAAAGGTCGGCAGTGCGCACGAGCCCCTCTGGTGTTGCAGGTGTCCATGGGCGACGGTAATCACTTACCATCAAGTGGTCCGTCTGATCGTCTGCTTCCTATCCCATAAAAAAAATAGTGAAAATGTCCATTAGGGTTTAATTTATTAGGCGGTGACCTCCGTAGCCGAGTGATTCGCATGCCGTTTGATGATTCCCGATCGAGACAATATAGAAAAAAGGACATTTCTATAATAACTTGGATCTGAGTTTTGTAGTGCCTTAGCTGTTTTAAATATTCCTTTAGATACTCATCTTGGAACATAACATACAATGCGATGTGAGCAATGTTGTTTAATGAAGACTTTAGGCTCTTACAAATGTGCTGTTTTTAATAATTTGTATCAGTTATGTCACTTTAAACTAACGACAATTTTAATGAGCGTTTATGCAATTTGTTGTTAATTATTTAATTTGGTAATGACTATCATCCATGGTGTTACAAATGCTTCTCATCTCAGTTCCCGAAACTTATGCAAAGTAACTTAACATGGCACACATATAAACACCTCCCATATTATTATACTCAGCATAAAAACATACAGCAATACTTTTGAAGTTGCCCTTAATGCCGCTTTTGATATTAAAAAATAGTGCAAAGGACCTGGTTTTGGCCATCGGACCCTTTTTAGCCATTAGAGACTTCAAAGCGTTATTACAAACGCAAAGGCAGATATATTACTTTACATTATAGTGTATCCAAAATTTTAATTTATGGCAGAACTCATATCATTGATTACTTTGATGTGTAAAAGTTCACTTTCTCAAAACTTATAAAATGGGCAAAACCGGATCATAATCTTAAAATGGCTTAAACCAAGTTATCTGCCCTACATTTAGTAAACTTAATACTTTAGATTGATTGTAATCATTAATTTGGATTACATTTTGCTTATCTCTCTTTCTGATTTATCGTTCGGAATGATCATTCAATCTGTTAAGTAGCCACAGTAAACGGTTCTATTATTGTGCTTATAAAAAACGCTATATATTAAAAATTTCTTAATTTTGTATTGTGAAAAACAAAACATCTTTATTAAAATCATTTTTTTGTTAACAGAATGGAAGTTTAGCAAGTGAAGGTGGCATGCCACTGAAGAATAAGAAACGAGTGCCGCTTTTTAATAATCCGGTTCCACATTACATGAGGATGCTCAGCCCGGAAAGGTTGTTTTGTAAGTTTTGATAAAATACACTCTCCATCATCTTTACATCCACAAATCAACTCTATTTATGATATAACATTTATTTATTTATGAAATAACTTATATTTTCACGCGTACTATTTGTTAAATCTTACACCCTAGTCTTAGTGAACACGGAACCTCTAAAGGCACTGAAACTGTTTAAAGTTATTTCATTTAATAAAAAAAATATGTTCTTAATTAATCCGTCTAAATATCGTGAAGGTTATACTTATGGGTTCTATGTTCTATGGATCACTTATCATAATATTTTAATAGTACATAATGTAAATGCTAAAGTTACTTCGATAATAAAGGATAAATTACTATTCATTCTTACAACAGTTTTTCTAGTATCCAAGTGTAATTCTCTATAAGATTATTTAGTTAATCGTATTACGTATCGAATAGTTTTCTTGAAGTATACCTAATTAATATGGGCACGGTACGATGATATAGTATTTTATTCATTGAAATTCAATTCAATGAAAGATAAATTTCAAAAACAAAATTCGGATTTAGGTATTTAAAAAGTACCTCCGTGCACCTTTGAATGGATAGGCAAGGCAAACTATACATATGATGATTAAGATTTTTACTTTTATAATTTAGTTATTTGTATAGAACCAATTAACATTTTTGATGTGGTTCAGTAATAATTTTATGTATTAATACTATTATTATATCTAAAACAACTTCATTTATCAGTATTAGGGGATCCTCGCACGAACCAAAATCCAGCAATGGTAACGTTTGGTGTGTTACTTATGCGCTGGCACAACGTGGTAGCAGCACGAGTTCATCGCCAGCATCCAGACTGGAGCGATGAACAATTATTCCAGAGAGCAAGGCGGATCGTCATTGCTAGTTTACAGGTAAACTCTTCATATTTATCTTAAAATAATACCTTCTAAAGTTCTTACTAGTTATCTAGGTAAGAGCTCACCGGACACAGACTAAGAAAAATACCTGAAGGACTCAATTGCGATTCGAATTCATGAGTGTTTCTGCTAATTTCGTTACTACTCTTCCATCTGCTACAAGACATCTTACCGACATTGTCGAATTTCTTGCTACTTTCAATGTTAGTGAGTGCATTTCTATCGATATTTAGGTAAACAGTAATCACAAAAAGAGTCTTTATCAAGTAGGGGTAACGTATTGTTTTTTGCTGTCGATCGCTATAAGTCAATGTATGACTTATGGTATACCCCATAAGAGGTATTGTCTTTTTCAAATTTATTAAGTGAAATAATTTTACAAGTACTAAAATTAAAGCTCTTAATTTCAGAACATAATTCTGTACGAATACGTACCAGCTTTCTTGGGTGTACCGATCCCTCACTATGAGGGGTATAAGGCCGAAGTGGCTCCAGGAGTGACGCACGAGTTCGCAGTTGCCGCTTTCCGTTTTGGCCACACTTTGGTGCCTCCTGCTATATTGCTAAGAGACAGAAATTGCAGATACGGAAGAGCTCCTGGTGGGCATGATGCTATCAGACTGTGTCAGACATGGTGGGATGGTAACGTAAGTAGAACTCGTTAGCAACTCGAATATTATTGATTAAATTACCCGCGTATGATTTAGCTTCTCATAGATGAAAGAATTTAAATCAGTCCAGTAGTTTCAAAGCCTTTTAAATACAAACAAACAATCAGAATTTCATGGCTATAGCAGCAATAGAATTACCCAGGTAGCCAGTCTATTAACGTAACTATATAATACATAAAAAATAAATAGAAGAAATGTTTTCAAAATACTGCACATTACTTACAAATTTCTTATCTCTGTAGAATAAAAAATGTTTTGGCAATAACCGCCAAAAGGTCAGTTGCACAAACGTCCGTTAAGGTTTAATGGCGCCTCTAAGCTATAATGAATGTGAAATTTGTATGGGTAATGTCGCTTTAAACTAATAACAATTTTAATGAAAAATACCTCATTATCAATTAAGTTTTTATTTGATTCTCATACAAGTTAAATTTTGTACAATTTCTAAGCTTCAAAATACAATACGACAAATTCGCAAGCATGATACATATGCTTGCTAAATTGTCGTATTGAATTTAATTATTTAAAATTCTAGGATGTAGTATCTCAAGTTCCAATAGAGGAAATATTGATGGGTATGGCATCTCAATTGTCTGAAAGAGAAGATGCACTCCTTTGCTCTGATGTACGAGATAACTTATTCGGGCCAATGGAATTTTCGAGGAGGGACCTTGGTGCTCTGAATATTATGAGGGGAAGAGACAATGGCTTACCTGATTACAACACAGCCAGGTAAAGAAGGTGCCCTGCGCTTATGTTTGTAAATTGATCTGCAATTCATTTATTTATAAATTAATTATATTTTAGAGAATATTTCGGTCTACCCAAAATAAAAACATTCAACGAAATAAATCAACAGCTTTTTGAAAATAATCCAGATTTACTTCAGAAACTGATACAAGTTTATGATGGAAAACTCGATAATATTGATGTTTACGTTGGTAAGTGCCACAAAAAAGTTTAGTTTAAAAGATGGAAAATTACTGCCTTCATGCAATATGAAAAATTAATCATATATAATAGAGTATGGATATTTTCATAACGAGAAATTAAATCAATGAAATTATTTTTGGATTTCAGGTGGGATGTTAGAATCAACAGGCCATCCTGGTGAATTATTTAGAGCTATCATTATAGACCAGTTTACTAGAATAAGAGATGCAGACAGATTTTGGTTTGAAAATGAGAAGAATGGGTAAGATTTTAAATACAGTGCAAAACTAAAGCATTCGTTTACGGTTTTCTCTAACACAAAATAATTGACTAAACAAAGCTATATTCTTTCAGGTTATTTACGCCTGAGGAAATTGAGGAGCTTCGACACGTCACAATGTGGGATATCATAGTTAACAGTACAGCTGTTGGTCCAAGAGACATACAAAAGGACGTGTTTCATTGGAGCACTACGGATCCATGTCCACAACCATATCAACTAAATGCGTCTAAATTGCCACCCTGCAAATATCTGAAAGGATATGATTATTTTGAGGTAAGATAAATTAGAAGATCGATGGGGATATAGTTAACGTGTTTGTTCTGACTGCAGGATTGCGCAACTTTCACAAAAAAAAAACTGTTTTATCGAGATATTCTTGCTTCGAAAAATGCAATAAGTCATTGGTCTTGACTTCGACGTCAGTCTTTACCAAAAACTGGTCCGCAATTCCCCGCTTGCCTGGTGATGTACAATCAATTCTTTCCATTGGGATAGCATACGCTCCACTAGCGGGGACAATAATAAAGATGATGATAATCATATATAGAACAGCAGAGTGATTGAATAGCAGAGTGATTTATGATTCCATTTTTTTGTATAAAAATACAAAACAAAATTGATACGTATCTTAGATATTCTATTCCTATGTCATTTCGAAACTCTCTTCAATTATGCCACGAAACGTTTTTACTGATTCAAGCTTGAGCGAATGCCGGTTTTTGAAATGAATTCAGGCATCTGAGTGAATTCAATTTCAAGTTTGAATTTTTACTGAATCGCATGGCAGCTAGTATATTTAATTGCTGATTACATCTACTTGTATACTATATTGTTAAAAGTTCATAAAGGGCCTCATTTAGAAAAAACAATGATTTTTTGAATCATGATAAAATAACAATCCAAACATTTTTCCTAATGATATGACTTTAAGTACTAGAGCCGCGTGCATAAAGTTCAAGGAAGTCTTTAATGAATTAGAAGTTATTATGACTCCTATCAGTACAACGAGGAAAAGTAAAAGTAATTAATTTGATTATGTAACTTTATTATGCCTTACAATTCCCTAGGGTAACGAATTCGCGTACATTTACACATGCTTAACGCTTGCATTCGTCCCACTACTATGCGCCGGCGCCGGCTACGGAGTCGTCAAGTTGCAGAACAGACGACGTCGCCGTCTTAAGATCCAACAGGAGCATCTAAAGAATGCACAGTATAAAGGTACTTTCAACTAGATACAGTTTTGTTATTAATATAAATATTCTTTCACATGACTGCTTTATCCATAAAAATCAATAAATATTCTAAAAATTAATTATTGTTTTCAGATAATTTAAACATCATACTTTATATTATTTTTGTTAAAATATATTATTTATTTTGCAACATCACAAATATAAATATTTACAAAATATTGAAACAAGTTTTCTATGCTATGCCTAATACTATACTAAATAAAAAATATCCCAAAACTGTAATGGCACCACAACCCCCACTCACGAAACCACATAAAAAGGTCCATTTCTACATTGATACCTCGAAACCATCTATAATAGTGAAGTTACCCTGATAAATTACGTATACAATTGAGTTGATATATTTAACTTCTAGGATCAGTGGATAAGATGGTGTGCCGCGAATGGGTCCACGCTTCGTTAAAGCGTCTCGTTAAGCTCCGATTGGGCCCAGAACCTGCATTACATGTAACCGACCGCAAAGGAGATAAGCTACGAACTATTCCCATGGATCATACTGAACAACTTACTGTTCTAGAGAGTCAGGTAATAAGCGAATATATATTTCGCAATCCGGGCGACTGCTAACCTTTGTGGATTCGAGCCCCTCTCAGAGTTGTGGATTTTTTAAGCAGTTTTCATTGACTATTATCACTATAGCATTATGGTTGCAAAATTGATCAAATATAGTAAACATTAAATTTGAAAATTTCATACTGGTATATCTGACTATGCTATTCACATGACCTAATTATAGTAAATGTAAATATTTTTGAGAGATTTCCTGTATACAAAAACCATATGACCCTGTTTTTTACAAACAAGCTCATGAAGTATATCCCAGAAACACTAGAAATAAAAAGAGGCTAGTTCTCGACATAGGCCCAAAAAGCGCGCGATTTTAAAATAACCGCTACTGTATGTGTCAAACAATATTTAATAGGTTTCCATAATCTATAAAGAGTACTACTCTTACTAGATTTAAGAAAGAGTTATACAACTGGCTTGCTGAGCGTTCCTTTTATTCTGTGCATGAATTCTTAGACTATGGAAACTGAACGTTAGCTGGAGGTGGATTGATCAGTGCTTATAGTGGCTTCTTATTATACTTACTATCGACCCATGAACGTATTAGTAAAATGAAAAATACATGTTATAAAATATTTTTTTGAGTATGACATTTAAGTATATAGCAAATAATCTACATGTAAGTTATATAGCAAATACGTTAAAAATAAAAATTTGCCGTAGGTACTCAAATTAATGAAAATGATTTAAAAATTAATACTTATATTAAATAAATAGGAGGGGCGCACGAATAAGCGTCCGTTGGTGTTGATACGTGCTGCGCGTGAGCATGATCTCGTGCTGGAGATGGACTCGGTGGCGTCGCGTCGTAAGTTCCTCGTAAAACTCGATACCTTCCTCGCGCAACATAAGAAGGGCCTCAGCCTTTCACAGGTACAGATATTAATAACTAATATGACATGATTTACTATTTAGATTATAGACTAAATGGAACAAATTTTTTGGTTACAGTCAAAATCTATTTTTGCATATTTTTCAAATTGGTAGAATTATTACATATCTTTTCTACATAAATTACCTATTTAATCACATGCTACTTAATTCCAATATATCAATATAAATGTGATGTATGTAAATACTGAAACAACATAAGCCCTAGCATCTATATCTGATGTACAAGAGTTATACTAGATCTGTCAGCACGGTATCCTTTTCTGTAGCTCAGAACCGCAGTTTGCTAGAGCGAAATTTGTAAATCGTCCAGGAGATAGACAATAAATACACTATCTTTCTCGCTCTAGCAAATGAGCGACAGAAAAGTATAGACTGACTGAAAAACGCGACAGCGAGCGTGCTGCTAAATATAGTTCAATCGTAATGAAATATGTTATAAGCTTTGATAATATTAATATTTTTTGTTAATATAGATTTAAAATAAGTAAATTCTAAATAAATATGCCATGAAATACATAACACACGTAACTTCAATACGCTGGTAACCATATAGTTCTATTATCTTTTAAACTAGAAGTACTTAGGTAAGATTTATGATTTGAAATAATATTTACTGACCAGGGTCATCGTGATCAAATCTTAGCTACAGCTGAGACAAGAGAAAGAAGACAAAGGAAACTGGAACACTTCTTCAGAGAAGCTTATGCTATTACATTCGGTTTGGCACCTGGAGAGAAACGAAGAAGATCAGAGGATGCTGACCCCGAGGTACTGGTACTTTCTGAAGTAAATCTTTCATCAATTGGATAATTCAGTTCCGATTCAAATACTTTTTTGTTTCAGTCAATAGTGATGAGGACTTCATTGTCAAAGAGTGAATTTGCGAGTGCTCTAGGTATGAAAGCGGATGCAGTGTTTGTGAAGAAGATGTTTAACATTGTTGATAAAGATAGTGATGGAAGAATTTCATTTCAGGTAAATACCAAACAAATCTTAAAAATAAATATGGTTTATATGTACGAATGTACGAAAAAAATATATGCACGAATTATAAAAAAAGTATTTTGTATTAATAAAAAATCCCATATCAAGATAGAAATGGTTTCTCACAGCTATAGCAAATAAAGTCCACTGATTTCATTTTTCTAATAGGAATTTTTAGATACGGTCGTGCTATTCTCCCGCGGTGCTACTGACGACAAGTTGCGTATAATATTCGACATGTGCGATAATGATCGTAACGGCGTCATAGACAAGGGAGAACTTAGCGAAATGCTTCGCTCATTAGTGGAAATCGCCAGGACAACATCGTTAAGAGACGAACATGTCACAGAACTTATAAATGGAATGTTCTCGGTAGGTGAAGTGTGTGCTATTATACTCATATCATATTTTCTATGCTTTATAGTGATAATTTTGTGATTTCTATTTGGATTTAAAATCGAACTCTCTAGTAACAAAAAAAAAAATATAAAAAAATATATATATATATATATATATATCGATATTTATAGATTGTACCTAGCAGCTATTGTAAACTTTTGGCGAGATAAGCTTGCCTGTATATAGAATTTGGTATAAATCCATTCATGTTTCTATTCGAATAAGTATGTAATTAATTATTATTTGATTGTAATTCAAAGATTTCAAACTATGCATTAAATTCGCTTTCTATGCGTTAAATGATAGCGGAGTTTAAGCAATTATTGCATGTTCTCAGATAGATGATTTAACATTATTACTATCCGGGTGCTTCAGATGGCACTGTAATCATTTGGTCCCGAATATATCTATAGTTGTTGGAATCCTCAATCATCACTGGACACGTGATGCAATATAGCACCTACCTGTGTTTCTTTTCATGAAGAAGGCCGAAACAGGCAAGATGTTAGCAGGTTGACTGATAATGATTAATTTCATATAGTATTTTCTAACTTTACTTTATTTTTAGGACGCAGGCCTTCAGCATAAAGATCACCTCACATACTCCGACTTCAAAGTAATGATGAAAGAATACAAAGGAGAATTTGTTGCCATAGGATTAGATTGTAAAGGTGCTAAACAAAACTTTTTGGATACTTCCACTAACGTTGCGCGTATGACAAGCTTCCACATAGAGCCATCTATGGAATCGTCCAGGTAAATCAATTGATGTTTATCATTTGTTAAATGTTAAAAAGAATGCCCTATTAGAAATACAGTATAGAGACGATGGTAAAAGGTTTTTCGACTGTTTAGATAGCTTACACGATAGCTAACTAGCGTCAGAAAACCAAAATACACATTACTGGTATCCAGTATAGAGACGATGGTAAAAGGTTTTTCGACTATTTAGATAGCTTACTCGATAGCTAACTAGCGTCAGAAAACCAAAATACACATTACTGGTACTTGAGATTTTCAAAAATTTCGCTGTGCTCAATTGGAAAACACATGCCTGGTTAGCTCAACATGGTTTCGCATTGCATCATAAACAGCATATTTTTTTAAGATTAATAACAAAATTGTATTCCAAAATTTACTTAAAGAGTCTTTTCAAACATAAAAACTGATTCATGAATCAAAAAAATTATTCCTGATACTGCTCTATTACATAACGTTTTTATAATCTATTTTAAGTAAATTTAATTTAACGATTTTTATTATTTTCCTTTAGACACTGGCTTCTACTAAAATGGGATTATCTTACCACATTCCTGGAAGAGAACAGGCAGAACATATTTTACTTGTTCGTGTTCTATGTAGTGACGATTGGGTTGTTTGTGGAAAGGTTTGCTCACTATTCTTTCATGTCGGAGCATTTGGATTTGAGGCACATAATGGGAGTTGGAATTGCTATTACAAGAGGATCGGCAGCTTCACTATCATTCTGCTACAGTCTGCTTCTGTTGACTATGTCAAGAAATTTACTAACGAAACTAAAGGTAATATCATAAAAATATCATATTAATCCCTATTAAGACCATGGTTTCCAAATTATTACTATTAACCCTAAAATAAGTATTTCATGATAGTTCCTTAAATGTGGACAAATATTTTCTAAAAAAAAAACTTCCTTGTTTACAAAAAATACTTTACTTCCTTGTTTACCAAAACTTACTTAGTAAGGATTCCAAGAACCATGTAACATTTTCAGACAATTTTATAGTGAAACACGTGCCAAACCAGTTTCAATTAAGAATTTCGCATTCTTGGAAGGAAAAAAATGTACAGATCATGTTTATAACATTACAGTGAAAAATTGCAATGATCATCGTTCTAGATTATCATAACTGTTACCTCTAAATGAGGTAACAAACGGTACTGGTAACTACCAAACTTTTATATTAAGATAATATAGCTTGACAAAGTTGTAAAGCTTTCTGATTCACAAAAACTGTTCTCTTTATTAGGGTTCTCAAATACCGGTTCTTTTTTCGATACAAATTCGGTGCAATAAATAACTTTTTAAATTTAATTGTGAGCGCCTCATTAAAATATTAGTAAAATCATTTATTTTTACAAATAATATCTATATTAATTATTCGTCTATGTTCTCATCACACATAATACGATTTTCGCTTTCTTAACTATATCTTTTCTGGATTTAAAATCATCGTAATGATCTTATCGGGTAAATTTTACTTCCCCTAATATCTTTATCTTTTTTTATTTCACTTACCAATGGAATATGTCTCTACATGATTTAATTTTCCAGTATAACTTTCTTTCTAATTCTTCATTAGGAGTATGGTTCTTGCGACCAGAAGTAATACCAATAATCTATTCACACTCCTATTCCTCTCTATTTTACCGGGCAGTACTTTTCATCCTAGCTTCACAATTTCATACACTTGATCATTACTACTTTCATCACTAGTATATAAAGAAAAATTTCACTTAAGTCTACATAATTAATATAATTTTATGTCTTCATAGGAGTTCAGCATTCAACAATATATTCCGTTAGACTCCAGCATTCAGTTCCACAAAATCGTCGCATGCACAGCTCTGTTCTTCTCGCTGCTTCATACCGCAGGACATATGGTGAACTTCTACCATGTGTCTACTCAGCCAGTAGAAAATTTACGCTGCCTCACCAAGGAAGTACATTTTACTTCAGACTTTCGCCCTGGTATCACCTACTGGGTGTTTCAAACCGTCACAGGTATCGTATTAACAACAACCTTTGTTTGAGTATTAATTATTATCCTAATTTTATATGCTTATGGTACCTTGCCATTGTCCAAGATAACATTTAATGTGGATTGCTTTTTATATGATTTACAAAAAACAATTAAACAGTTTCATTTTTATTGTTACTTTGACGGACCCTTGTGAGAGTCGCTAACAACCATATCGCAGACCGTGCGCGTTATTTGTGTATCATGGAGCTCTTTAACTGTGGCTTTGGCTAACGTATCTTGGAATCTAAGCAATATAAGTGATGATGTCTTAAATTTGTTTAATTGATCATAGGTATAAGCGGGGTATTGCTGTTTATTATAATGTGCATCATCTTCGTGTTCGCTCATCCCACCATCCGTAAGCGTGCCTACTCGTGGTTCTGGCGTGCGCACTCCTTACACGTGGCCTTGTATGCCTTGTGCCTCGTTCATGGCCTCGCGAGACTCACTGGCGCACCTCGTTTCTGGATCTTCTTCTTAGGTCCTGCCATCATTTATACTCTTGATAAGGTAAGTTGTGTTGTAACTATACCCCGTTAATGGAGTTGGAGTTTGGTAGCTGGCCGTTTTTAGAGATTGATAAAAATATTTTTGAAGTCGATATTGATAATTGTATAAGTTAATTAATATTATATAAGTGCAACTTTATCAGTAGTTCATTTATTTGATTTATCTTTACCTATACATTTTTATGTGTCTTTTAATCCCTCTTTTTTTTAAATTGCTACAATATTATTAGAATAAGAAAGTAAATTTCGCCACTGTTTAAAGACTTCTTATTGCTAACATGGGATAGCGTGTGATCCCAAACCCAGGAGATACTAAAAACCAGAATAAAATAAATATTTAAGGGGGCTTCCATACAACAAACGTATTTTTTTTTACTTTTATTTGTTACTTTTATTTTATTAAATTTTTTTTTTTTTTTTACTTAGTCTCTGTTCTTTAGTTTGGCATTATTTTCAAGATTTATAATACAATTCAAAACTTAATCAAGAGTTGTTTCATTAAATGACTAGTCTGAGCCAATTTTTTTTTATCACCATCGTGAACTAAGCTTACAAAATTACTCGATTTTTCTATGCTACATATTTAAATCTGTGTCACGTCATATTTCCCTTTGAATTGATCGATATATTGTATATTGATTTGCATGAAATTTATTTCAACGGAACTTTACATCACCGGATTTTCTTATTTGTCTAACCAGGTGGTTTCACTAAGAACAAAATACTTAGCACTGGACGTACTGGAGACGGAAATGCTGCCTTCGGACGTTATAAAAATTAAATTCTACAGACCGCCAAACCTAAAATATTTATCGGGTAAGTATCACTAGAGCATTTTTCAAGAAAGATTATGAAGTTCAAAAAGCCATTCTGGCTTTTCAATAAAATAAAAATACCTTTCTTAATATTTTCTTTTACTTAGTTAATCATGGAAACATGAAGTTACTTTCGGTGAAATAACACCTCTTCCAATATGGTCAATGTTTTATAATTACTTGAGATAGTTATAGATATATGACGTTAATGAATAATTGTAAAAAGTAATATTTTAATTAAACAGGTCAATGGGTTCGATTAGCTTGTACAGCATTCAAAAAAGAGGAGTTCCACTCATTCACTCTGACGTCAGCACCTCACGAGAATTTCCTCTCGTGTCATATTAAAGCTCAGGGACCGTGGACGTGGAAGCTGAGAAATTATTTTGACCCTTGCAACTACAATCCCGAGGACCAACCCCAAATCAGGTGAGTGGATAACCTTTGCCTATGAAATATAAAATAGCCGCGTCGTACCCGGCTTAAGAATAGGACGAACTCATATCTTCCCTTGAATGTTGTAAGAGGCGACTAAAGGACTAGATGATAGAGTGGGCAGTAGTGCTTCTTTTAGCCCACTACAACTTTGGACAACACTGCTGTGTGGAAGGCAAGACGAAACCACCACATTATTTTTTCCAAGAGCTTCGTCATGGAGGTTCTGCTTGGTTCGCCTTACAATCCGCTTACCAACCGCTGCCGCCTTGCGTCCGGGAAATACGGTGTGAAATTGGCAACCCGCCAAGGTGCAGAAGCTCACCGTTGCGCTGGACGGACCAAGTGAAGGCTGCTTTAAATAGTTCTCTATACGAGTGTACGGGGAAAGCAGCCTTCCGAGATGAGTGATAAATCAACAGACGACCACAACCACTCTGCCAAGAGTGTTTATAAGTCTATAAATCAGCGATTACCTTGCATTTAAAAATAACTGCAAGTTCGAACAAGATTTCGAACAAGTTTCTGCTAGCTTCTCGATCAATCAAGTGCCGTAAACAGTTTGTGAACTTTATATTATAAAATTAATTTCAAATCAAATTCATGAACACTTCAACTGGATGGATATACCGAATACTTCCACAAAACCTTCTTTCTCTATTTACAATATTGACAAATTGTATTAATCAAAGTGGAATGAAAAACACAATTTAATCAAATAGATTTTGCAATAAAGCATTTATTTTGATATATATCATACTTTTTATATAATATAAAAAGATCATTCGTATAATAACCACTAAAAATACATTAAATTTTCAAAATTTCCCGCCAAAACGCCACTTCTGTCATGTCGTCGCAATGACATCACGGTACTCTGAAACAAATATCATTCTATGTATGCGTATGGTTAAATTCTATAATTTCTGATATGAATAAGAGGGTCATGACGTCACGCGCTGTTTGCGGTCACGTGACAACGAGCATCAAATATTTGTTTTTTTCATAATTAATTTAAGAAAGATAATAAGCATGGAAGCGTGATTATTTTTTTTCGTTTATTGCCTACACCCATATTTTGTAGTTATAATTATTATACAACACGATTTATGCCCAGATAGTTAGAAAAAGTGAAACCATGTAATAGCATTTGTCACCTAATAGCTTTCACAAATGTTAGCGTTAAATCTAAATGATTTCCTCACACTATACGGACAAGAAGTTGCATCAAACCATATTATAGCATAATCGACGTACACGACATAGTCACGTTTTGAAGAATTTCACCTCACTGACCTTAGCAATAACCCTAACACATATTTTATATTTGTCCATACATATTGACCGTTCTATATGTATTTCCCAATCAAATTGACGGCTCGTGTATTACATCGCTCACTAATTCAAACTCAATATTTGCACAGATTACTTTAATTGGATGTTAAACGATTATACATTTTGATTCGTCTGTTTTGGTAATAACAATTACTATAAGCACTAAATCTTCAATTTAATCTATACAAATTATGAATAATTTCTGAGTTAAACGACCTCTGTAGCCGAGTGTCGCAAATCTCTGAGGTTCCGGATTCTGTACCTGGTCGGGTCAATATAGAAAATCAACTAGTCTCGGTTCTAGGTATTATAGTACCTTCGTCTGTCTCAGATACTTTATAATACGAAGGCTACTTATATTGAAATCTAAGCCATAAATGTGATATTGTTGCATATCTATATACCGCTTATCATTAACGACAGCATTATCATCATTAGAATTGTCATCGTATTAATAATTTCATTGCTGGGACACTACGTACCTTTCCTATGGGTAGAATCCCAAAGGGCGAATGAGTCTTAACTCATCACGCGGGTGATGGTGATCTAAAAGCGCTCATTTTGCCATTGTACTATCTACATGAAGTCCAATATTATTATATACTAGTGGTCGCCAGCGACTTCGTCCGCGTTTTTCATTATTTCTTCGCTCGTAATAGTTGCAGCGTGATGTTATATAGCCTAAAGTCTTCCTCGATAAATGGTCTATTCAACACAAAAATAATTTTTCAATTCGAACCAGTAGCTCCTGAGATTAGCGCGTTCAAACAAACAACCTAACTCTTCAGCTTTATAATATTAAGTATAGATCTATCACCTTTATCACGTGTTAGAAAAACATTGCTCTAATAATATTGGACTTTTGTATGTAGACAGTATAATCGTAAAATGCAAAACTTCGAGATTCTATTTGTTTATTTGAGATTGAGATGCGATTATTAAGTAAACATTTGCGCAATTGACCTGCAGAGCCTACGGAAAACTTGTGCCCACTTGTAACTACGGAAGCACGGAAGAACTCGAAGTAATAAATTTTTGGTCACCCAGTTAAGGACCGGCCTTTGCAGATCGTTGACCGAATGCACTAACCATAGCGCTATTGAACTTACCCTATACTAGGATGAAGCATTCGTTAAATTGTTTCGTCAGTGCAAATTCCAATGGTTTCTTTTTAATTTTTATTAGGATTCAAGGTCCGTTCGGTGGTGGTAACCAGGATTGGTACAAGTTCGAGGTGGCAGTGATGGTTGGAGGCGGTATAGGCGTCACGCCGTACGCGTCTATACTCAACGATCTTGTTTTCGGTACATCCACCAACAGATATTCTGGTGTCGCCTGCAAAAAGGTAGGTTTCAATTGAAATACAAAAAGGTTAATTTATCATTTAAAAGGAATTAATGTTACAAATTATAATCCAGACTCTGTATAATAAATAGATCAGCTGTTGCAACGTTATATAAGGTAGTCTAATAGTCTATATCGATGCGGGAAAGCAAACACGTAGTAACCTGCAAAACCAAAATGGATATTTAGAGTAGAAAATCTTTTAATTTTTCCAAAAAACAATGTCTTATTTTAGTATAAATTAATTAAGGAAAAAAAAAAAAGTTTTCTGCTCTGAAGAACAATTTGGTTTTGCCGGTTACTACGTGTTTGCTTTCCAGCGTCGATATATTCAAATTTATTCACTAGTTATTAAATACTATGTTACAGTTAGGAAAAATAATATAAGAATGCTTTGCTATAGCTAATTAGAACATTATAAGTTGCACTAACCCATTAGATTTTATTAAAATTTTGAATTATCAAAAGTTCATTATGGGATTTTCATTTATCTAAGATTATGTAATTACTATAAACTCATATAAATTGACATGACACCTGAAGGTCTATTCTATCTCTCTCAAAACTAAATTTCGTCTATTTTTACCCGACTGCAAAGGAAGGGTTACATTTGTCGTATCTTGTATGTATGTATGTAATATTCTTTATTACCTCATATCTTCAGAACCGCTGAACGAATTTAGATGATTGAAGTATTCTTAGATTTCTCTTAGCAGCCCAAGCGTTCTTAATTGTCTCCAAACAAAGATTGATATTTTTTCATGAAAAAAGAACTTAATTTATTCACGTTGCTATAAACTATATTATATTAACAGGTGTATTTCCTGTGGATATGTCCGTCGCACAAGCATTTCGAATGGTTCATAGACGTTCTGCGCGACGTTGAGCGTAAGGATGTCACAAACGTCTTAGAGATACACATCTTTATTACGCAATTCTTCCACAAATTTGACCTCAGAACAACTATGCTGGTAAAGACGATACATTTTTATTTATAGAATAATGCAATTTAACGTGTATGTTTTCTGTTTCCTATGATATAGACTCACACATAACGTTACTAGAAGTTTTAAAAGATATATAATCTAATCCGCATGATCGTTTAAATTATTATGCCGGTGTATATATTGCACCCATGCTGAGAAAACCTTTTAACTGTCAATTTTACACAAACAAAATGGGTTTAATGTTTTGTATCAAAATCTTCAATCGAATTAATATTTAACTCAATTTCGTATAATAAAATTTGTTAACAGGTTATACCAGTATGAATGCATTATATAATAAGGGCATCTGCTTCTATTCTTTTAAATTAACTGAACTTAAAGTTAATTAGCACCATTTATCCAATCAGATATCCTTATTAGGTATAAGGATATCTGATTGGATAAATGGTGCTAAAATTCTATTATCCTAGATAAGACCTAATATTTTATTTGCTGATACAGTATATCTGCGAGAATCACTTCCAGCGATTATCTCGCACCTCCATGTTCACTGGACTGAAGGCTGTAAACCACTTCGGCCGTCCGGATATGTCATCGTTCCTAAAGTTCGTACAGAAGAAACACAGCTATGTGAGTATATATTACAGCACACCATTTTGTATGTGGCGGTTGCTGATTGTTTAGTCTTTATTATAAAAGGGCTAAACTACAATAATCTTAAATATGGACAATTCAAAAGTATTCAAATAGCTTATTTGAGTAAATATAAATTCTTGAAATGTTTAATTACCTTCTGGAGTAACCTGATATACATTTTCTTCCAGTTATAGACTATGGAATAAATGTCTATTACATAAGTAAGGATAGTCTTTTTGTATTGTATTTTATTGAAAATCATACAGATTCAATCCATAGCTTGATGTTATTTGTTATTATAATGATTATTAAAAAAAAATTGATCATTTCTATAAATTTTCACTATAAACATGAACATATGACATTTCCAAACTGGCCAAAGTAAACTAGTGTATATTTTACCTTACTATGTTCATTTCGCATTTTTTGTTAGACTTCTTTATGCAATCAAATGGTTTTGAAAGAATTGAACGTATTTTATTGCAATTTTAAAACCTTTATAAAAATTAAAAACGCACTGTTCAAATTTATTACTTAAATAACGGTAGTAGTAGACTGTTTTGTAATATTTCGTGCTCTAGATTTCGAACTCATATCTAAAAAATCTAGATAATGACAGTAAAAAATTCAGATTTACTACATTTTGAATGCATATCAACTAATGTTAGCTCTTTAAGATGTAGAGTAAACTCTAAAATATGTAGTTACTAATGGTTTTCTAATAATAGATATCATAACGTGAAACAAATTTACATCCTCGGAATTCTAATATTATTAACAAAACTTGCAATATAGTAAAATTTACCATCGTACATAAATTTACATTTTTAACCTTTATGATCTTAAAACATGATTTTATTGCTACCTACTGGTGTTTCATTAGCTAAATAAGATGTGTTATAAAATATTCGATATCGTTGTTTTTTAAAGGCACTACGCAAACATAACTATTTTTTGTTGTCAATAGGGCAAAACATCACAGGAAACATAGTTGCCTTTTCTGTTTCGTTAGCAAAAATCAGATTCATACGATTATTACTAACTTTAGTCATTGATAACAATTTTTCTCATGTTTTTCGTCAGCTTCACGATAGATATCGATAAAAAACATAGCCTTGTAATATTTTGCCGCAAAATTTGTAAGGGAATTTATTATTATTGGTATCATCAAACGACGTCTTTTGTTTCCCAATATTATGATTGCAAATCGCTATCTTTCAAGATCAATTGAACTCATAAAACATCTATTTACTGTCTCCTCTTGCAGTTACTGATTCCATATTGAAATACGATAAATAAATATTCTCTTGTTGCTGCTATCTCACAAAAGGCGTAAAAGTAGTGATGTTTGTGCAGCGCCTAAAATTACGTCGATAAATCAAAAAGGATTAGTATTATGTTGGATTTATTATAGCAACATTCACATGAGTTAACTAATCAATCAATTAAGTAATAAATGATATATAAGGTCTATAAATCGCTACATCACGATAATTCGGTATAATCCCCAGCCGCACATTTAAAACCAAACAAAGAGTTTTTTCATACTGGAATAATATCAAATATTACCGACACTTGAGCATATATGTTCCGAAATATGAGTGTGTGATTATTTCGCTTCCAATTTATGATACATCATATGACAAGCATTGTCTAGTAGTTTTTGGAAATGTATAAAACTTTAATGCATAACTAAATACTTTTTGCAAAATAGCCGACATCCTTATTGCGTTATGGCTGCTAGAAAGTAACACTATATTTCCTAAATTCCCTCTTCTTGTTTGTTGCAAAGGTGTCAAAGATCGGCGTCTTCTCTTGTGGACCCAGGCCGCTCACCAAATCCATCATGTCTGCATGCGAGCAGGTGAACAGGACCAGGCGTCTGCCTTACTTCATTCATCACTTCGAGAACTTCGGATAAAATTATTTCCTCAAATTCAGTGTCATTTACAATTCTCGTCTACTTTTCGTTGCCTGCCATTTCTGTTATTAAATACGTTAATATATTATGAGATATCGGTTACCAACACAGTTACCAACTTGTCACCGTTTTGTATCATTTTAAAAGCGTAATTTTCATTCAATTTAAGTCTTAGAATTTGGATCTCCTTTAGTCATGGATGACTTATTGTTTTTAAACAGAAATAAAATAACATAACATAGGTTTATCGACTAGATACGAAAAGTGTATTTGTGAAATTATTATTATATTCGACCAATTTCCACAATGCTTTATTGATATTTATCTTTAAGATAAATTTTGATTACTATTTAAGACCAATATTTATTTTTTATTATCATATATTTGATATCTTTTTAAACAAAATTAAATATATTAAATAATTAGAACTCCTGATTACTTACGAAATTTTTTTTATACATATTAAAACTAATAATTTAAAAAAATCTTTGCAATTATATTAAGATAACATAAATCCAGATAAGTACACCTAATTTATTTTTAATACCTTACATGGATAATCCAACGTATTTTATTTGTTCAACGTTTTAGATGATTTTAGTACAAATACATTAATAATGCATTTGAATGTACAAATTAAAAGTTTTTTTTCAAAATTAATTTAAGTAAAAATTAACTTAATACTCAATATGCGATCTAAACAAGTTTTAAACAATTGTAATTTATATTAATGTTACATTTAATAAGAAAAAAAAATGTAAATAAATGTATAAATATAGAGAATTGGCTAGTTTATTATGATCGAATGTCCTTATTATTATAAATTGTAATGTAAATAGATATTTAATAAATTTTGTTTCTATTAAATATTCCTTGTTTGATATTTGTATCCTTAATTTTAGATTTCCACCCTCCTTTACAATAAATATAGGTGAGAAATAATTGTAAAGATATGTTCACAAACTAGGGCCTATTTTTTAATTTTAAAATCTACCGCTATCCCTTTCAATTTGACTTTTGAGAGATATTCACGAACTTCATGCTAAAACTGTTTGACATGTCATAGCAATTGCGATGTTTTTCAAATAGGTTAAATGAACAATATCGTCAATCTTTCGGCGGGTTTAGGTCGGTTTTTATTATATTTCTTAATCATTCAAAACATCATTATTTCCAAAAGTCATTGCTACTTTAAGAGTTATATCTCGTCTACTTTACGTTACCTGCCATTTCTGTTATTAAATATTTTTATGTATCCAAATTAAGGTAATATTTGATTTTTTTATATATTGAGATATCGGTTACCAACACAGTTACCAACTTGTCACCGTTTTATATCATTTTAAAAGCGTAATTTTCATTCAATTTAAGTCTTAGAATTTGGATCTCCTTTAGACATGCATGACTTATTGTTTTTACACAGAAATAAAATAACATCTTATAATATAAGTAATATCGATTAGATACGAAAAGTGTAATCCCATAAATCGCTATAATTTCGAAAAGGATTGCGCTAATTGTTTATATTAGACACTTAGTCCGTTGTTAGGATTGTTCATGGACAATAATTTGCAGGCCAGTCTTTATCCGAAGTAAAAGGAATAGACAAATAGCCTTGCTACCTCGGTACACACAGACGCTGTGGTCGGCCAGTCGTTAAGCTTCTCAAGGGTTCCGGTTACAAATAACCTATTTTTTTTTTCTCATGATGATAGGAGATAAGTGCATACTAACACAAGCGTTTTCTAAGAAATGAATACAGAAAATTCTGAAGGCTAATTGTGTCTAATTTTTACTATCGTAGGCTCTTTGAAAGGTATAGTGATTATGATAGTACTTTACGGACTTATGTCACTTTACTCTAAAGTCGCAAATAGTTTCGGAAACAAATGATGATTTTTTTTTAATGATCAAGAGACATATGTATATACTTCCTAAACCCGTAGAAAGGTTACAGATATTATAAACATTTGTCGTTTGTCATTTATCAATAGCTTTCCCGTAGACTAAATAACATAAAATTTACGCTATAATTCACTCAATATCTTTCAAAAAAACATAACGTAAGCAATCGCAATTACGTCTCAAATAGTTGTAGCGTGAAGTTCGTGAATATGTTTCAAATGTCTAATTGAAAATGATTGTGATAGACTTTAAAATTAGACAGTTAGTTCCCTGCTTTTTATGACCTTAAATTGACAAAATGAAACATTGATTAATATTCGATCTGAGCATTGAATCATTATAATGATTTATCTGGCTTTATCAACAATACAACTTATCTGGTACAAAAATATATTTCCTCATTGCCCACCCTTATTTACTATTATCCAAGCATGTTTCCGTCTAGAGAATATAAAATATGTCGGTGAACGGCACATAGCATAGATAGATTGGTTTCAAAAGCTAGAATATTGACTTCTTCTATACATAGTATGAAACAAAGCCGCTTCTCGTTGTCTATACACTGAGATGTTTTACTTAACGGATTTTAATGCGGTTTAAACAATATACAGAGTGATTCAAGAAGTAGGTATAATACAAATACACGCGAAAAGCTAGTTAGAAATAATTTAACTAAACACCGTTATTAACTGTAATCAGCAGTAACTAAATAAATATGAAAACATTCTTACAGCAAAGATATTCACGATTCAATTTGACCATTGCGGAACTGGAAGTGGAAAATTTGGCTGCAGCTAGTCTGCGACCATGATATTAAATATACCAAAAATTATTTGTCGAGCCAAATATCTAAGAGGCCTCTTATAATCTTACAGATTCATATTAACGTCACTGATTTGCACATGCGTAGGATTCGCATTCTGCATATACCGTTATGATGGTGGGGGTAACCGACTTTCCGTTGACGAATAGTTTATGATATTAGAATTCATTTACATCAGATTGCGGACAGGATTATTTCAAAATTTGAATATAATGTCTTCTAATGAGTACTTAATTTTCAAATTTCAACATAATGTAATAATTAAGTTCCCTCGTTTGCTCAAATGTTCTTCAGCCCTGGCCTAGTGCGTTATGTTGCACCAATTGCTCCTAGCGTTTTACTGCAAATTGGTGCAGGTTGCAACATTATTATTATACGTGCAGTTGCGATGCGACCCACAACCTTCGGCTAACCTTTATTCGAGACCGCGCCGTTACTTATTTCATTTTATTTCATGAGATTGAGAACAATGAACATGAAGGTTACATGTAATATGTCAATATTGTTATTGCAGAAGGTAAATATCTTTTCATTTTGAGTAACATTATCGGCATCGATATCTTGATTTAATACAAGTAAGTATGTGATTTGATTACTAATATCACAAAAATAGAAATACAATGAACGGCAAACATACGGAGGGAGATTTCAATACAAAAATAAGATTTCAATGAAATGTAATGAAGCGTAACTAACTGGATTACGCTTGTAACATCTAAAATCATCTAAATCTAAAAAGCTAATTAAATAGGTATCTACTATATTTTTTTAAACCAGAATAAGTATAAATCTACATCTAAGAAGTCTTTTATATAAAACATATAAAAATGTAGGTATATATTGTAATATAAAGATGCTCGCTGGCGTAGTGGATAAGCGCCGCGGCCCGCGACCTTTTTTTCGGTCACGGGATGGGTGACCGAAAAAAAATTATGTCGAGCTACCCCGTGCTTCAGAAGACATTTGTTTATCTTCTTATATTCTACGTGTATATCATGAACAAGTTAGTTTTGATTTTCAAATGGCGAATAAAAAAAATGTCAGTCAAGGTTGAACTAACACATTATTTATAATATACACTACATGATGTACCCGTCATCATCATCATCATCAGTCCTTTTTACGTCCCCACTGCAGTGGCTCAGACTTTCCTTATGGATGGTTAAAGAGGATAGGCTATGACCCTCCACGCTGGCCCAATGAGGGGTATTGATGGCAGCAGATGCAGCTAGGCCTTCGTGCCTTCCACAAAGCACGGAGGAGTTCGACATAACAAATTTTTGGTAATCCATCCTGTGACTGGCCATAGCTAAAGCTACTTATTAACCATATCGCAATACGAGTACGTTAGTCACTTTTCAAATTGATTGAAGATTGATCGTAATCGGAAATAAATATGATCAAGCGACTAATCAAATAAAACCACAAATCAAAAGTATTAAACAGGAGTTCATCACACACAAACTTGAAATAATAACTTTTTGACAGGTCTAGTGATCGGAAAACTGGTTTGTATCTCGTCCAAAAAATAAGGCTAGCTATTCAAAGAGGAAACGCTCGCAGCCTTCTTCCTGTTGACAATGATTTGGGGGTTATTTTTTATCTAGTATAGATTTAGACATAACTTAGATAAGTAGTATACTTGAAATAAATAGTCGTCGAACTATACCTCTGTTTATAACTACACGCAGAATTTCTTGCAGGTAGGTAGAAACAAGTAAGCACCATAATTCATAAGGTTTTACTCGCTCAGAAAATCTGTTCTTATTGCCTTTCAGCAGTAAATCATTTTATTATGGCCTTTATGGAAATAAAAAGTAAGTAAGAAGGTATTATATATTAAAAAAAATGTAACACAACACAATACATGATTATCGAACTTCTCTCTTCATTTCTTAAGATTATTATTGTTATAAATAAGCTGTGTGTTGGCAAAATAAATGTAACTTTTGGGATAATACTGATAATCAGCTGAATTAAAAAGTGTATTCCAATGTGATCTTCCCTATAAAATAATGGCAGAAAACTGAAAAATCATTGCAGATAATAAATAAATAATAGTATTATATATAACATACAAGAATACTCTATATCTATATCTATACTATAATAAAAACGTAACCGATCGATGTCTGTACATTGAAGATATTTGAAAAAAACTGTTATGAGGGACATTTATAAGCGTAATAGAACACAAAACAATGATTTTTAAATTTTTTGTCTGTTTGTCTGTTTGTCGGTTTGTCTGTTTGTCTGTGCGTTTGTGCACGATAATCTCAGAAATGGCTGAACCGATTTAAATACAGTTTTCACTGTTATATTGCGGCATTCTTCCGTTAACATTTAGTGTTAGATTTATTTCAATCGGTTCACAAATAAAAAAGTTATGTCAATTTGAAGTGACGTGGTCGCCAAAATTGCTATGAAATATTAACTGTTTTATTAAATTTTTGTCTTTCATATATTTATTATCATCATTATCTCTTTCACAGCCAAACTGCAGGGCCTCAGGCCTTTGTTTAATAATTTTTGGTCACCCATCCTGTGAACAACTCTTGAGAAAATTGCTTAGCAATAACGATCGTGCGCAGCGGCGCATATCCGTAGCGCCACCAAGCTACGAATTAATATTGTCTTTAAAAGGATAATTTGAATGATGACAAATAAAAAAATAAGATTCCAAAATTCGACACTCCGAAGTAAGTTGACCTCATTTATATATGGCCAATCATATTAAATAGGGTTCAGCTTATAATGAATGTGTGGTATACGATCACGCGAGTAGGAGAACAAGCGGTAAGAGCCTTCCGATGATGCAATTTAGCCTCGAGTAGTTTACAGTGAACGCATATATTTATCAGATAAGGTTCACGTCGTCGTCGGGGCTAGCGGAGGTGGTTGGCAGCCGCCCCCGCATTTACCCCACTCGATTTACCCGGTCTCTCCAATTTTCCATCTGCAAAGGGACCAATGGTCCAATATTTGAGTGTCCTGGTGACTCGGCCATAGCTTGCCGGGTTTCATTTTCCATGAGAAGGTGTAGAGTACGGGTTTTGGTGGGTAGGCCTCTAAGGACCCACCGGGCAGCTCACTGTCGGTTTCACGGAGGAGAATCCTACTCACCCCTGTTGCTTGCCAGGTAACAGAGACAATGTCAGAAGTTTTTCCACGACGGTAAAAAAGTTAGATTCACGTCAACTGAAGTTAAGAACGTAAAGATAACTCGAGTTATATATTTTTTTTTCTCTTATTACTATTTTTTTATGTTAATACTCTTTTTGTTTTTTTTTTACATACAAATTGCTGCAGATACTTACTTCAAAGTTGATATTTTCAGTCTTCGCTGGAAACAATGTTTTATTCATTGGTCACAACACTCATATAATATTCCGCGTGTCTGAGTGTCGGTTCAGAGTAGCTCGGTGGCGTAGTAAATAAGCGCCATGGCCCGCAATTGTAGTTGTTAAGCAACTTTCGCAATGATGGATGACCAAAAATATTATCTCAAGCAACTCCAAGCTTCGGAAACTACGTAAAGCGATTGGTCCAGGTTGTATTTGCAGTCGTTTATATCCTCCAATCCACAATAGGCCAGCATGGAGGGTCGTGGCCCATCCTCTTTAACCATACATAAGGAAGGCCTGAGCTCCTGCAGTTGGTGACGTAAAAGGGCTGATGATGATGATGATGATGATGAAGGCCGTTCAAATCTGACAGATGCTCAGTTAAGCACCTCTCGGAAGTATGTTAGTAGACTATTTCCTTCGAGTGTGGAAAGTCGAAATTAAAATATTTTTTTTATATCAATAAATTAATCTCCACGTATCTTCCGTCAGACATGTACCGACCGACTTTTATTGACAAAGAAAGAGATCAGACAGTAAGCGCTCGGTCTCGGGAGACACCTGGAAAACGTGAAGCGTATTTAACTGCCCATCGCGAGGCTCATGCACGATAAAGTTGAATCTGAAACATTTACATACATGCAGTATGGTATGAGTATGAAACTTCCTTTGATAGGGAAATGCGCTTGGTCTCTTAAAGAGCTCGCAGTTTGCACAATGGAGATCGAGAAAGTAGTTTCGATTATCGCCAACCCGTGTTGCCTTCATACTCCACAGGCGTACCGCAGATAAGTTTTCACAGGGTATAATGAACTACCTATTTTCCCACGACTGCCGCAAAATTATAACCTATGACATGCGCGTTTGATGTAGCTTCCCGTAGGTCGGAATCACTCTGAAACTATCGGTCCAGTAGTTTTGGAGCAAATTCGATGCAAACAAACAAACAACCAAATTTTTCCTCTTTGTAATATTAGTATAGCTTAGGTATAAGGGGTCCGATAGCGTAGTGGGTTAGCGCATTCGGTTTAATTTGCAGTTAAATACTGCACAACAAGGACATACATAAATACTTATTTTACATAACTAAGTACAAACGACAAACTCATCGCTAGCCAGCGACTTCTTCCAGGAAAACTAGCATTACATGGAAAATAAAACAATAAATAGCCGATTGCGCATACAAAAGAAGAAAAGAAAACAAAAGAAGGACAGTTTAAAGTTACGAATTAAATACTTAGACACAAGCGACAACCAGAGCGCGAGAAACGAGAAAAAAGATAGAAAAATAACATTCGTAAGGACCGTTCAGGATGGGTGACCAAAACATTATTATCTTGAGCACTGTGCACAACACTGGCACAATGCACGTTGAGCCGTTAGTCCTGGCTGCATCAGCAACGTTAACACCCACCGATCCGCATTAGACCCGCATAATGGGTTATGGCCCATTGATCTTATTCGATTCGACTCCATTTATAGGAAAAAAAGAATTCTACCAAAATACTTCCTACGCAGACGAAGTTGCGGGCACAGCTAGTTAATAATAAAGCTGAAGAGTTTGTTTATTTGTTTGATTGAACTTTAATAAAAAATAGTAATAGTAAAAGTGATAGTAAAATCTCAGGAACTACTATAACTTGTATAGATATTGTGCCACTCCTCTACTGCAGTACTCTCCTATAGTCGTAGAAAATGGTACTCCTGCTCGGACACGTCTTTTAAAGTTTTCCCAAATGTGCTCTATTGGGTTAAGACTGGGACTGCGTGCGGGCCATGGTAAAACTTCAATCCGGACCACATTAAGGTACTTACTGACGGGTCTTGCGTTAATCTGAAGTTGTCGCCAATGAACGAAGCGTAAGGTATGATGGTCTTGAAGAACTACTTCCACGTATCTTTGAGCGTTCGAAGAAAACGAGATCGGTAGAAGCCTCATAAGAGATACGAACCATTATGTACCCTCCCTAGTAACCTACTGTTTATAATAATTCAATTCGTTCTAGTAGTTCCTGAGATAAAGTTCAATTAAACAAACAAACCAATTCTTCGGCTTTATTGTTACTATCGTTTAGTATAGTTTTACTATCATTGAGCAATCGAAAAAGAATTTAATATGGAGTGGTATAATCAAGAAATTTTTCCTTAATTTCTTTGACATTAACGATACAGAGGGAAAGCCCAAGATCAACACAGGCGTGATTTTGTGGGCATCATAATAACTGTTGTGCAAGTCGTGCATTAAGCTCCAACGGTACTTACAGAGATGACTCAGACTCATAACTTTGTACAAATCTCATAAAACTAAAAGGGTCGTGAGATTATAATCATAATTATTATTACTCTATCTAAAATGACCTGCCAAAATTGGAACTACGAAGGAGAATGTACTGAACAAGTAATAAGGATTGTTGGACTTTCAATATCCAATAACATTAATAAAATTATATTCAAGATCTTAGTGAAATTTGGACATCGGTATTAAAAAAGAACGTATGTTAATATTTCAGCAATTTTCCTATTTTCAACAAAGGAAATATGATGTCAAACAAACTTACTAATTTTACATCAAAACGGATGATTTTGTCTGGTACTAATTTTATAATATTTGGAATATATTTTAATTAATTTTGATTAATATTTATGATTTTAGATCATTTAACATACATACTATTTAAAAATAATTCCATTAGAAACTTTTTGAGTGCATTTTTTCCTGCAAACTACCGAGCAAGATAGCTTGACTCACCGCGTCATCTCCAGGAGGCCAGATGTAAAGGCACTAGGAGCGTTTCTAGCGGAACCAGGCTGACTGAAATAACTTCCGCCCTCACATCCTCCCCACGCAAAACAGTAGTTATTATCTGTAGAAGTAGTCATTGACGATATACCATTTAGTTTTTGGTCGTCATTTTTATATGTATTTAATTTTAGAAAATATCCTGGTGCTAAAATAAGTGCCGTCGATTTGACGCATAAAAACTTTTCTCAAGAACTTCCTGAATTCCAAAAAAAAAATATATATAAACTCATTGCTTTTAAACAACATGCATCACCCATCTTCAAATATTGTAATAAATTAAATTATATGTGTAGAGTTAATTTAACCACACTATAATCGACTCACATATTATACAAGAAAAACAATGTACTATTATATCATTAAAAATTATAGAGGAAATCCCATAATTGCCTTAAGCCGAAAATACGCAACATTCCCAAAATTTCCCAAGTATAAACACAAATGGAAAATATTATTTTTCATATTACGTACATTATAACAAATCGAATTTTTGCCCTCGTTGCTAAAAACTGGTACAGAAATCCGTATTATTTTATTCAAAATTCGACCAGGGGATTGACACTTAAAGTCGTAGCCAAAACGATAACTCTATCATTATTTAAAATTAGCTTTAACGAGATACAGATAACAATTTATGAGAATCCGATTAGCACTTAGCTGGTTTTTGTATGTATCTGTTTAAATCAATACCTTCGTTCTTTTATTAACTAAAATATGATAAAAGAGACATATAAATATATTAAAGAACTGAAATTTCTGAAGCCAAAGATATTGGATTAATTAAAAAAATCTAATAATTTATTAAACTACTCCCTAGAAGGGTTGAGGCCTTATTTGTGGCGAAGTAATCGTTGAGTGGTAACACCGTTATGCACGAACGCGCGTCTTCCCCATCCGTAATAAAAATATACTAGAAATCAAATTGATTAAGCAACTCCATTGTGTTTGCCATTTTTAGTTAAGTAAGTGATTCGGTTACAATAACTTTGAGACAGAGCTGGGTAACCTTTTATTAACTATTTACAAATAAGTACGAATGCTGTCTGCACCAACTACTATTTTTTTTACAGCAATGAAGATTAATTGTTAATGTTAAACCTTAACAGTGCTATTAATAAACAAATTTAAATGACAGAATAAATTTACGGTCACTACCAGCCCTTTTGCGTCCTCACTGCAGGGGCTCAGGCCTTCCTTATGGATGGTTAAGGAGGATGGGCCATGACCCTCCACGCTGGCCCAATGCGGATTGGAGGGTAAAATTTACGGTAAAATTTCAAATTTAGTATTAATCCAAATTCATATTAGACAGTGAATAAGCAAACCTTCTACCTTCTAAGAGTAAATATTTCTCCCGTAGAACCTCGTACTAGGTTGACCTTTGCTAAGTCTCTGTTTAGTAATATGAATTTTAACTAATACTAAGTGCAGTCTCAACCTGAATTTACTCCAACGCCAAACCTTGTTTATTAACAACACTGTAAACAAATACCATCGGATGTTGAATAAACAAGCTAGAGTTATTGCCGTTTCCCGTAAACAAACATATAATAATCCACTTCCAATAAAAAAATAATCCACCGAGTCTACATAACACAATGGAAACTATGAAAACACTATAACATATTGACTTTCTTTAATATTCGTTTGTTCATATCAAATAATCTCGGACCACTTTTTTATCGTTTGACATTTAAACGTTTAGATCTGGTACAAGCGATTGCGATACATCAACATGTAAGACCTAAATAGGATATTCGAAATAGACTTCAAATCGAAGAGTCACCGTGGAGTATACGATCAAACAGCAAACTTAACACACTCATTGACTGGTTGATCGATAAGAAAGCTGACATTTCGCCTCGCGAGTGAAAGAAAGAAATAAAGCAGCCGTCCCTTTCTCACTTTCGTCGTCGCGCGGTTCACGGCGCAAGAGTGAGCGCACGCTTAGTTTTCAGTGGTCGCGCGACGGTGGCGGCGCACTCTATCGGCGACCTAACGAATTTCGTAACGTTCCGTTTCCTAGTGCTAGTGGTGTGAAACAAATCGCTTTGTCCAGCGGAAGTACCTTGCTCGTTACGTGCACGTCTAAATGTGACTCGACAAGGATAATTCGGCGTTGTCAGCAGGTGAATAGATCGATTAAACACGCTCGCCGCTTATCTGTCGGCCGGAGTCGCACGCGGCCCAGGCCGACATCCTTGTCCTCAATTAAAAACAATTTACAGTAGCACTTATTTGTTATGAATATTCTATAATCTTTAAATGCTCACAGTGCTCTTTAAATATTACAGTGTATGTAATGTATCCTTCAATAATCTGTAGACACTTACCGCGTAGGGCAGTCAATGTAGAGCCGTTGTTTTACGACCTTATTTTTCGAACAATACACCTATTGTCACGAGTGTCTATGCTAAAAATAATTGCTGACTTCAAAAATGTGAAACCATTTAATAAGGACAACTTTGCAATTTGGACATGCCTACCTCGCATCGATTAAGTGAGGTTCACATGTTGACCTTTGCAAAATGTCAGGTAGAAGTAACCGTGCGATAAATACCAGTCGTTCATTTGCAGATTGGAATTAAAATATATATTAAATACCTTAAATTTTGTCAACCTAAATAATTATTGTTTAATCTTAAAGTAATTGTTCTTAATATTTATCAAACAACACTATATTTAGTTCCAGGATATAAATAAATTCAGGATATAAGGTTTGGTTATTTAATTCATCAAGAACTCAATAATTGGTATCCAGGATATAAGGTTTGGTACACCACCTAGCAAAAGTAAATACATTTTTTTTTTGTTATATGTCAAAGGAAATATTTATGGTTACATATTTATGATCTGTGTTAAAAAACTACCCAAGTACCTATTGTTCTTCAATATTCTCGACATCCATGTCTCTGTACGCAACGACTTTTATCATTTTCATTGCTTTAAAAAATCTACTCTCGTTATTTATACTTATAATAATAATAATAATGATTTATTTGCAGAATACACGTATACAGATCTTGAAATTTTTCAAAAATTTATGTTCCAGTGTAATCTGCCATTTTTAATGGCGTGCAAATATTTATATAATTTATATTAATTTGCATTATATTTATACATATGGCATCCCAACAAAAATATAACAGACCACTAAAATACGTCGCTTTTTACAACAAAAGCTATTGTAATAGAATTAAAATAAAATAATTTTCCCACACACTTTTATTCATTTCGTCGATTTTCTTAATTACATTTACGTTGATAACATTGTTCTAATGCTCAAACGTAAGTTTTTTATTTTTATAAAAGACTCCAAAAAAACAGAATACAAAAGTTGTTTGAAAAGCACGTATCATGGACGAATAGCTATTCAATCTGTACCAGTAGAATATCTTCTAATGTTCTCATTAAAGCGTTTATCATCAAAAGTAAAAATCCGTTCAAAGATTTTATTGTAAACTACCAGATTTCTCTCTACTTCGCATAAATTTCCTTTGTTACCCGCGTATTACGTAGCTTCTCGCAGTTGAAAAAACATTTTAAATCAGTCAGTTATCAATGCAAACAAACAAACAATAAAATCTTTCCTTTCCATATTATTAGTAAAGATAAAAGTCTCTATTTATTAACGACATTGACTTACATATTTTATTATTTTCCAATGTCACGTTTATTTTTCTTTTTGAGTTTCTTCTAAGCGAATATACTCTTGAAATGCCTCATTATTCTAATAACTTTCTGTCTTAATTATATTAAGCATGCCTATTAAAGCAATATCAAAAACTAAAAATATTAGACTTAATAGTAATTTGGCAAGTGGGGGATCACTTCCTCTAGCTGTGTAGTCTAGTCTACTGGTAGTATGCAATGAAGAATATAATAACATGGATGGCCATATATCCTCGGTATGGTGTACAGACCGATGGTACAGGGGAAGGTACTGACCTATCCTCCTCCTGCATATTTTACTCTACTTACTCTTTGACGATGACCGCCATAGACGTTGACGGCCAGGAATTTAATTTGTCCCCTGGCCCTTAACTTTAATTTTCCCCTCAGCCCAGAACTAGATACGTCCATGTATAATTTAGTTCTTTAAATTATCTTAAAATAAAACATACACTGGAACAGTGATATTCTTCACTTAGCAGTTTTTTCACTTTAACATTTTTGCAAAATTAGTGTCAATGGATAGTATAAACTAACAATTAAACAATGACGTAACTAAATTAAATACCTCCGCGGATTCCATAAATCATGGCTCGACAGTATCATCTTATGTAACTCTGTGGTAACAAAAATATCTGGTTTAATTACCAGGTGGTACGAAGTAACATGGATGCGTTAGTGTTACCTAAAACCCCTTAAGGGAATATATAATTAGGCAAGACATAACATCGTCGTATCCATTGTACTGGCCAGTTGGTTATTAGGTTTGCATAATATTACAGTCATAAAAGTTCAATTGGAGATGAGCTAGCGTCGTTTCTTAATACGTACGTTCTTCTTAATAAATCGGGCATTTGAATCTACACTAAAACTAAAATTCACTTAATTAAAAAACTATAAATGTCTGATCATGTAGTCGATATATATGATATTTGAGTATGTATTCAAAAATAAAAAAGTAGATTACTCATAAAATGCATAACATTTTGGTGTAAGCTCCCAGAAAATTAGTGATGTCTCAGTAAAACCTTCGCATAACACACAAATACATTGTGATTCTCGTAGATACAGTTATTCCCACAAGTAATTTACTAAATCCATTCAAAGTTTACCATGAACAATTTGAATGGCACGGTGGAACGATTCGTTTGGGTTTCTAAACCCATTTCGTATTTGAATAAATTTTTTTCACAACCTATTGGTTAATCATAGCGCAAGCAAGGCTTTCACACGACTAATTAAACAGTGAAAAACAAAAAAATATGTCCTGAACAGATTTTAACAGTTACGAAACAAATTATAGTAACAATAAATATTCTAACAAATGGTTGGTAAATAAATACTAACCTTATCGGGATTTCAATAAGTGATATTATAAAATTTGAGACCACGAAAGAGGTACAATTATGAAGTTTCTTTTTAATACACCTCCTAACACGGCAGGAAATGAAAACCGGACTGTCAGATATGCGTACAAGCCACTTAACAACAGATGTTATTACGCAATCTTTCTTTTACATTTCATTTGTGTAATAATTATAAACTAACAAAATGTTAAGGACAACTAACCTGACCTGATAGGAAACTTGCTAAGAATAATGTATCTATCATAATAATTTGAGTAGTTCATATCGTTTATGAATCGCAATTCTCTGAAATTTTTGGGGTTGGGCACGATGCCCTCCGTGCCGGTTCTTAGTCTCAGATTTGACGACGAGCCCAACACTATTAGATCGTAGAGATTTAATTAAATAAAACCTAACCTCTAACCTATTTGAAAAAAAACTGCTTCATGTATCTACTAACAGCAAGGAAATGAAAACCAAAATAAATGTAGAACCTATCACAACAGCGTTAAAATAGAGAGATCCTAAGAAAAGCTTTACATAACTAAAACTATTGCGTATACTATGTATTGGTATAATTTATATATGTATGACTTATATTTTAATTTAAAACAAAAACAAATTTGTCCGTATTTATTTATAAAATAATGGGGTTTGCCATGAAACTGGCATGTATCATTTTGATATAACACTAGAGCAAAAGAATTAAAAAATAAACATAGTTCGTTAATGCTTTATGACAAAGCATTCATAAACAAATTAATCAATCCCGTGTTTGATTAAAGTGGCATACGCAAATCTCAGCAAAGAAACTATCAACACCCAACCACGGATCAAATTACAGAAGTAACTGACACACAAAAGGTCATAACTGAAGCATGAATCACAAATACAACCAGCCTCGCATTAATAGAAATAGATAAAGGTTTAATAAATGGAGTGGGGCTGTTAAATAATGTTAAACAATTATTGAGCAATATTATAAATGTTCGAATTGGATTTGTTAGCTTTTAAATGTTCAAATATAATAGAACTTAGTCACGCACAACTAAGTCACTTTATGTGAGTTAGTGTTGTTTAATATTTAAATGTCAAGATTGCAGCATTCTTATTGATTAAAAAGTTTACAATTAGGAAGTGGAAATTTATACGGATATTTTAAAGAGGCAAACTTTGTGACTTTGTTTGTTTGTTTATAGGTGATCTTCAGATCATGAAAATGCTTTCACCTACGGGAAGTTACATCTTAAGCTGGTGGCATAGGCTATAATTTACTCAGGCTAAGTCGATAACAGCTAGTAAGTAAAAAGTGGTGATCGAAGGAACTTAATAAGTAAATTTCGATCGAAACTATGTGAGCTGCTACATTCATAGCTATTTAGATCAGAAAAACTGTTTGCACAGCCAGTAAAATACAAAAATTAATTAATTCTGAAACCATCCAACCTAACATAACAAAAATCACAACCAAAGATATATTCATAGTAAAACATATTACGTCATTAAATCCAAGTGAGTTTACATATCATATAATTTAATAGTTGTTTTTTTTCTAAATGATTAAACATGTTTATATAGTTCTAAAAGACAGTAATAATCAATTGGTAACTCACTAGGATAATTCATAATAAAATTATAAATCCCATAATTATTAAATCGAGGTGCGCACAAAATGTGACCTCAACTACAAACCCATAGAAAGATGACGCCAGGTGTCTGAAATTTAAAATGACCGACGTGAGAATCGTGTATTCTGTTATTATAATAACATCTGATTTGCTTCGTTAAATCTTATTGTTTTCGGGATAAGATGTGCGTGTTAGCTCGACTATTGTACTAGCTTAATTTATTACAACTTTCCCACAATGGCACCAGGCTTATACTAAAACAATGTGTTACAGTTTCACACGTGACGCGGCTGGTATGGCTCAACTGCACTCCGTACTAACTAATAGTAACATCCTGAGCAAACTTCAAATACTTCATCAACTTCACTCGCAATAATTAATTGTTCTTCTGCATTTAAGTCTGTATTGTATATTACAATCTTCTATTTATCATTCGGGTTACTTAGTCATGTTCAATTTGAATCTGACTTGCAATTTTATGGT